TTTTTCATGGCTGCCGCAGGAAGGGGGTGTAGGGGGGCAAGCCTTGCTCGCCAAGCCTTGCTCGCCAAGCCCTGGCATTTTGGGCTCTGTGAGATCCCAGAGCCCCCCGGCCTGCGGGGCTTTCTGTCTCTTTGGCATGATCCAGAGCCCCAAAGGCAACAAATCATAGAATCATTGTGGTTGTAAAAGACTTTAAAAATCAATCCAGCTGTCAGCCCCTCACCACAGTGCTTGCTAAACCATGTCATCTACACGTTTCTTGAACACTGCCAGGGACGGTGACTCCACCACTTCCCTGGGCAGCCTGTTCCAGTGCTTCACCACTCATTCTGTGTACAAGTTCTTCCTAATGTCTCACCTGAACCTCCCCTGGCACAACTTGAGGCAATTTCTTCTTGTGCGTTTTTCAGTAGTTGTTCTGGAGCTCAACCCCCACCTCACTACAGCCTCTTTTCAGGTAGTTGTAGAGTGCGATAAGGTCTCCCCTGAGTTTCCTGCAGATTAATCCCAGCTCCCTCAGCAGCTCCTCAAGAGGTCTGTGCTCCAACCCCTTTACCAGCTTTGTTGCCCTACTTTGGATATGCTCCAGCAGCTCCTTGTTGTCCTTCTCGTAGAGAACGGCCAAAAACTGAACACATCTGCCCAAGTGCATCCATCCACTTGGCCTGTGCCACTGAGCCCTGCTGCCGCCATGAGTGGCCTTTCCGGGTGAGATGGCCACCTCTCCCAGCCCTCTGCTCCCTTGCTCATCCCTTGCTGCCCTCTTGCTTGCATCTTTGCCAGGTGAAGTAACTTCAATTGCTTATTAAATTGAAATCACATTGTGGTCTTGCTTGCCCTTTTTTCTTTCCCCAGTAGGTCTTTTGTCTGATTTGGTGTTTCTGGTTTTCTAGTAATTCCTAGCAATTGCTTTACTACTTGCAGCCTAACAACATATGTGAAGCATATGCCGAAGGGGTACAACAGAGGCAATGCCTGGACTCCCAGCAGCATCAGACGCACAAACGTAAAGTGCACCAGGGTCAGTATGGAGTGTTTATTACCTCTGCATCCAAGAAGGTTTTCCCTGGAGATTTCCCAGTTGAGGCATAAAGAAGAGTCCCTTGCACAGCTGGGCGTCAGTGCAGGGTGAGGAGTGCCGGGAGGGCGCTGTATATACTACGCGTACGTACAGCAGGTAAAAGCCTCCTGGTTTGTGTACGTACTGTACACACGTGCACCAAGCACGCTCTGCTCATCGCCCAGGTGCAGTGGCACAGGCCCAGCCGCGTGACTGTGGGTCAGTGTGCCCTGTTGAGGCTCCTTTTCCCACGGATAGGGAGGCCTGGCTAGCTTCCATCACCCGTCTCCTCAGCACTCTGCATTTTCCCAAGCCCGTGCATATTTATGTAACTGTTTTCTTTTGCTTTAGCAACATTACTGTTCTTCAAAGATTAAATTCTGAATACAAAAGGCAACATTTATTGGGACTGTGAAGGCTGTTCTGACTTGTGGCTTAAGAAGAGCATGCAGCCCATTACGTATGCCATGCTTTAGTGTCAGACTAAAGCAGACACTGCTTTAGATCTCTGTAGACATTTATTTTGAAATCTAACCAGGAGAGCTCCTGCAGTATGTCTGTTTTTAAAAGTCCCCTTCTGAGCTCAGTCGCTGGAGGAAGACAATGAGAACTTGCCTATCTAGCTCATTTTCTGCTTTAGAATTCATCTTTGCAGGATGCCTGAGCCAGAGAAACTGCTTTGCTAATGCTGCAAAGAGTGCTGCGACACAGCAGCAGCAGTGAGGAATAACATAATTTCATGCATGTAAAAAGAACTGGGTGACAGTCCCTTCACAGAAAAGATTACAATTTAAATAAGAGGCTGTGGACAAGAAGGTGTGTGGGTTTAGCCTGCTTTAAAGCCTTTCTTGCAAATTTTGTGCTAGTTTGGTATATTTGAGGGATGGAGGCGGCAGCATAGACACACCTGGTGGGATCTCAGACCTATAGCTCATGCTCCTTTTGGATGGCCTTCGCCTGCAAGCCAAGACAAGCCAAGCAGAACACGCCGTGCTGCTTTTGCCCACATCCTTTATGTAGTACATGGATAGGAGAGTTGCTCTGGGCTTGTGCAGTGGGCATGGCAAGCTTTTATGGACCTTGGGAGGTTAGCCAGAACTGCCACTTCTTGCAACAAAACATCCAGAAATTCCAAGCAAGTCCAAAGTCTAAATGTTCTACCCACACAATTACCGTTTGGAAAAAGAATATGTTCAACAGAGCTCAGGTGTCTGTGACTGTAATGGAAGGAAGAGATAGTTTAAAATGGGAAGGAAACAAGGAAGGAAGTATCTGGGAAAAAGATGAAATGCTGGACAGTGATGAAATGCTGGACAAGAGTGGTGATTATGTGATATTGAATGTTCTATCGTAGCTCTGTGGGTCCACTGCTAGCTTATCAGACACCACTGTTACCAAGGTGGAGCAGTGCCTAGTAAATATATTTTGTAGATTACAAATGCTGGATTGCCATAATAGGCAATAGTGCTAATTCTAAGTGTAGTAAAACAATGTTTCTCGTACATTCATGAATATTTGACCTTGTATGATAGATTTATCAATATTTTAATGTAATTGCAGTTTTAAAGCATGTTTTATAAGAATATTTTCTAAAATGTGCTTTCCTATGATAGAAGCCTTTTTTTTTCCAAAATAAAAAATACAAAGTCAGTCCTATTTTCCACAGTTAAAATGGGTAGCATGATTTTATATGAATCAAGCCTCAGAAGAAATTATCAGGAAGCTTATTAAGTCTGCCTATGAAACATTTATTTCCTTTGCAGAGCACTTCAAGTGAGGTAAAGAGTGATGAATGCCTTGCCTTTTTTTACAGCCGTTTGTCTTTGACCACTTCACTGAGATTGGAACAGCCTGTATTTCACTGACTTATTAAGAATTTCTTAACAAAGAAGACCAGAACTTTGCAAGTTACTAGGCTCTTAGTCAAGCAACCCTGTCTACAAATCACTAGTGGACCATGATGACACCCTTAAGGTGCCCATTGACCAAATTCAAATTATATTTTAGTAGCGGTGGTGCTGTGCTAAGGGAATTATGTTTTCCTGGGATCTTACTTGAATTCTTGCCTGTTTTATTTTGAGGCAATGAGAATTATTTCATTCACATGAGAATTTTTGGGAGATCCAAATGTCTTATATCGCAGAGGCTATCAATTTCGATTGCTGGTGGTAATAACTTGAAAATACCTATGCTCATTTACACTCAGATTTGCTAAGCCCATTCCCAGAATTAAAATTTTAATTTATCTTTGACAGCAACCATTGAGATTCTCTTGACATCAACAGCAACTGACCATTTTGTCTACTGTGCACATCTAATTCCTTTTGTAACCAGATTGTCACAATTATAACTGATTTGAATATTACAAAGCATATTTTCTGTTTTACATTTTTTTTTCATAATGTATAACTTCGTGTTTTATGAAAGGCTCTAATCCAAGATGGTATAAGATCATCTAATAGCTATTTTTTGTCCATGTATTTTCAGCTAATCTTTCCGGGAGTTCTCTTTTACTTCAGCTTGGGCTAAACTACCATGAGAACTCGTGTTCACCGTGCTACGTGAGGAGCAGGTCACCCCTCGTGCGGATATTGCAGAGAGGGCAGGGAAAGGCAGAGAACTAACCAAGCCGTACAGGCACAGAAACCTGCAGGCAACCCGAAGGTGGTGTAACAGAACAGATACATTCAGCTCCTCCTAGTGTAGTTCACTTGGTTTTTGCAGATTTAATTTGTATTAGTGGCCAGCTAGGCAGCTGAATGGATAAAGCTCATGTAAAATATTGGTTCTTAACAGGATGACATTATGTATGCTTCATTATTTGCTCAAAGTGTTTTTAGTTAATTCCTATATCCATTAAGATCTGCGAATCCCTTTGGTTTGAGGCAAATGAGGATTTCAGTCTTACATCCAGACAAAATATGCTTTGTCTTATTTTTATTTCTTTAAACATAATGTGGAGGGGTATGATATTTTGTTAACTAAGGAAATTTATTGTGATGCTATAGCTGAAGAGGGAACAGTAATTGGCATAGATGCCATAGAATAGGTGCCTTCTTTCTAGTATTGAAAATTCATGGTATTCAGCATGATGGCAGAGTCTATAGATTGGTTTTGAAGCTTTGATGTAGTTGTACAAATGAGCTGTGTTTCAGGGATTCCAGTGCACTCATTGAATTCAAGCAGGG